GACCAACAACTCATGAAAAACAGTGGTTGGTTCAGGCTGTTGCTGGTGGTGTGGCATGTTGTAGAGTTGTTTTATTAAACAGGTTGTGTGGCATGACTCTACAAGCAACCCACAAGACTCTACACGTCCATTCCTAGTGAAGTACCCAACCCTTGCACTTCACCCCTTTTCCAACCCGTGCACTTCGGTGACGACACGTGACGACCCAACTACCCAGCGCCGGCCGGCGGTCTGCCGCGGACCACGGCAGATCCGACCGAGGCGCGGACCAGATGATGAAGATCGAGAGGAAGCCTTACTGCTGCCCGGCATGCACCCAACTGCTCGGACCAGATGAGATGAGCGGACCAGACCAGCCGGTTTTGGGTGAACCATCACCCACCTCCCTGGTGGCGAATGATGGATATGGAGTGAGAACCACCTGGTTGGTGAAGGTTCAAACGTTCATCCTTGCGGGGCCATGCCATCCACTGGCATAGATACAAAGCCTTTCCCCATTGGAGTTTTCTAGATAGTGAGATTCCAACTCAGAAGAGCAAACGATTCCAACTCAGATAGCCAAGTTTGTTTACTTGGGCGAAACCGTTTCGTGCCGTTTCTTTGGGCCTACTGTCTTGAACCACAAATCTTCCTACTGAACCTGGAAGGAAATGAGAAACCTGGTCGACCTTGATTTCACTTGACAAGATCTGAGAACCGAAAGCCGTGACGTTTCCCAGCAAACATCACCACGAAGATCCCGTTTCTGGTGGTGGTTTGGTGGTGTCAAAGCTCGAAGAACAGTTTCGTCACCCCAAAAAGAGCTGGGCAGATGTAAGATGATGTGAAGATCATTGAGGATCTATGGCTGTGGCGGATGAGTGGTGTTTACTTCCTGCTTCGCTGCATTTCAGGAACGAGATGAAGCAGTTGAAGACCGGGGAGGACAAAGACGTCGAGCGTTTTGAGGGCCGAAAGCAGCGGGGGTTCAAGGCACAAGGCAAGATCACCCACGAGAGCCAAGGGGACATGTTTCCCTCATTGTGGGAACACCAGCAGTAGGGGACATGTCGGACATCTCATCTTGGGGTTGGCAGCCAACAAGGTAGTCTAGCTCCTTGTTGGACTGTCAGCGGCAAGGTCTATGCGGCTCCGCCGTTCAGCTGCGATCGCCATTCTCAGGATGCGATCGCCTTCTTCGCCAAGCATGGAGACCAGTCGGACTTGCAGGTGGATTTCCCAAGCACGGACCGCTGCATTCTTCTGGTGGTTTTTCTTGTGGTGGTTTTTCAAGACCCAAGCAGTTTTGGGCGCTGTGCTTGGTTCTAAGTCAAGTGGTTTTGGGCTTCGTTCGTGTTCGCGTTGAGACACACCCATTTAGTTCAGCTGTCTATGCCAAGCAACCACCTGCGACTGGGCTGAGATTTTCTCGGATGCTGCGATGTGTTCATGCTTGGCACAGGTCATTCATTGTGTGGCAGCTCATGTGGAAGAGGGCCAATTCCGGCCCTACGACTTAGTCGTTGTGGATGAGAAGGAGGGCCGGATGGGCAAAAACGCTGATCCTGGTACTTTCGGCAAGTGCGCATTTGTGAATTTGATAGGCTTGACCCTTGATGACGTGAGCACTGCCGTTTCCATCAGTAATTGGTGTGGTACGAGAAAGAGAGCATGCCAGATGGCTGCCAAAAACATGCTGATTATATATATATATAGATGTTACTATCACCGAAACCGAACACCCAGTTTTCAATGCAATGCAGACCCTCTGTAGTCCTTGCGGGTCATTCCACAGGTGCTCCATGACCTGTTCCCCACAAGCTTCTCTCGCTAACTGACCGTTGTGTAATGATATGACATGATGATATGCGTATTATATATATAACCATATAGTAGTATATACCCTCTTTTCAATTCTACCAAGAGTGCATGGGTGTGTACAGTTCTTTGATTGTTGTTGGTTTCTTAGTTTCTCAAAAATAAGTTGGCAATCATTTTACAAGGATCTCTTTCCAGTACCATTGGACCATATGTGTACAGTCTATATATAACTACATATTTCACACAGAGAAAGATGCACGTGCATGGACTGAGATATATGGACTGACTTGACATGAACTGATATATATATATATATTGATATATAGACGTGACGTAGACATAGCCTTTTCCCTTGATCCATTTGTACTAACCAACTTGGCTGCCTCAAGCAAGCTCCCTTTCATTGCTTTTTTTGCGCCAGAGGCGATTGAATGCTGTCAAATTGGACGTGAGGCAACAAATCGTAATGGCGACCACTGGAGATGCAAGAAATATTCTTCAAAGCTGTCTGAGTTCTGTCACCGTGTTTGCTTGTATCCCCCAGGCCCGTTTGCTTCATCAGTGTATTGAGTAGAAAGGTTGCTAACCTCGAGCAACACTAGCAGTGGCTTCTCATCTGGACACTACCATTGGCAAGTATGGTGGCAAAGCCTGGATGTTGAACAAGGTCGAGTTCACACGCGTCCTGCCACATGCTTGAGCCAACATCGACAGGTGGCCATCTTGGAGGCGTGAAGCACGACAAATCTGGGGGGGGTTTCTCATGTCTTCCTTATGGCTTGCCATGTGAAGATTTTGGGTGCATGCTCTATGTGCGCAAGGTGAGTCCTTTGAAGGACCTTTCAACTCGCCTGTGGACGCGGAGAGTAGTCCTGCGTGCGTTCAAGCACTTCTGTGGTGCCAATCACCGAGGGCGCCGAAGCTAGCCGCCAGGAAGCTTTTTCAAGCTGTCATGGACGCAAAAGCTAGGGGCCAGGAAGCTTCAGCTTGAATTGTTGTTTAATGATGTTTAATGTTGTTTACCTAGGCTTGCTTAGCAAGCAGGGATTTCGGGACCCGTTGGGTTGTGGAAAGCTGGGAAGGTCACGGGCCGCTAACAGCGTGCGCGTTCGAGCGCCCAACTTGGCACCTGACAGCTTTGCTCTACAGCACCCGCGCAACATCGGGCTTTCGGCAGGGGTGGCCGTCCCCTTTCCATATCCTGTTCTCGATCACATTCTGTATATATATATATATTGATATATGTAGTATCTTTGTTTGGAGGGAAATGGTTTCTGGAACATGCAGTCTCCTCTCTACTTTTCAGTTGAACCGCTTCTGCCATTGCAAGCGGGCCTCTTCCTATTCTTGTGTTGTTTCCGTTTACAGCTTCTTTGGTGACCATAGTGTATATTTATATATGATTATACACACATATGTTTACCAGACTAATATATGCTATTTACTTATTTATATACACATACATTCTGATTCTTTCGGTGTTGATGTGTGAGAAGCAGAGGAGTTTGGCCCAAACTGTCTTTTTGTTTCGTGTTCTTCTTCCTTACTCCAACCGTCCAACCGACAGATCCCTGTGACTCCGGGCCCGTTGCTCACCAGGACAAAGGCAATGAGTACTTCATGATTTCTCCCAAGGGCATTGTCCACATCTGCCCTGGGAAGCAGTCCGAGCACACCACACTCACCAGCTGGCTGCTGGGCAGTCCAAACCGGTGCCGGGAGGTTGCGGACGATTTCACCGGGAGTCCGAGAGTTGCCAGCAGCTTTATCATCGAAGAGAGGTGGATTCAGCGATCAAACATGTGTGAAACACATAGTAGTTCGTAGTTTTTGGAATCGGTGTGGTGTGGCTGAGCGGAATTTTGTGGTGTGGAGGGTTAGTAGAGATGTTAGGAGGCTTCGAAGGTTGCAGCCAATTGAGATCAAAGAGTAAGACAGTAAGACTCTGGCATCATCCGCAGATTCTGTTCAGTTCTTTTCTTTGACCAGTGGGTTCACATTGACATTTAAAACCACCAGAAGAGTTACTAGACTCAACGCCCAAGGTTTCGGGGAAAGAGCAGGAACCTTCTATTTTGGCACCCATTTTCTTTCAATGAAACACAACAACCACAACAACACCAACACCACCACCACCACCACCACCAACAACAACAACAACAACAAAACAACAAACAAATAAAAACCAAAAATAACAACAAAAGCAAAAACACAATCACAACGACAACAACAGCAACAACAACATGAAGGACAAGAAGAACAATAACAACAATAACAACACGAACAAGAAGAACAGCAACAAGAACAACAACAAGAACAACAATAAGAACAACAAGAAGAACAACAAGAATAACAACAAACACAATAACAAGAACAATCACAAGAACAAGAACAACCAACAACAACAACCACAACAACAACAACCACCACCACCACAACAACAACAACCACAACAACCACAACAACCACAACAACCACAACAACCACAACCACCACAACCACCACAACCACCACAACCACCACAACCACCACCACCACCACCACCACCACCACAACAACAACAACAACAACAACAACAACAATCACAACGTTATTCCATCGGTTTCTGTGACAATTCTAGACACTCCTATTCTGCAGTTCTTGCCGCTGAGATTGAATCCCTTTTGTTTTGAGATTGGCTTGCGCCGCCTAGGATGCACCAAGTCATGATCTACACAGCTGCTCCATCGCAGTCCTGCTGACGAACCGACCCGAACGTGTCGATGTGTTGGGGCTCGATGGGCACGACGGTCACATCCACCCCCCTGGTGAGAACAGGAAACAGGCCCATCCGCTGCAATCGGTGAATACCATCAATATCCATCAATTCAACCCCACGTGTGATGTTGCGGGAGTTTTCCAAGTCCTTGGTCACTGTAGTCACTGTAGTCCTCAGTCTTGAGCCAAACATGCTTCCTCCAACCGAGGTTCTGGTTTCCATGTCCTTCTTCCGCCACTACTTGAGAGGCCGACACGTACACAGAAGTTGAGTGGTCTCAAGGATTCCCCTAACTGTAAGTGTGGCAGGTCTCCGCTGAATCGGATTCCGCTTTTCTTCGGTACCGTTCAGTGGCAGGTTTGGAACTGCTTCAGAGATTTTAGATTGAGATCAGCACGGGGTTGGTTCACCTGAGTTCACCCTCCAGCTGCGTCCCGCCAAAAAGCTGTTTTAGTTCAAGCTCCGTGCAGCCAGAACGCTCCGGCTTTGACCATGTCAGAGCTGCCATCGTTCAAGTGGCTCATCTTTGGCTGCGGAGGGGTGGGTGGCTATTTTGGAGCACGGATCGCGCAGGTGAAAGGACAGCGTGTCAGCTACATTGCTCCTTGGTGAAGCACTTGTGAAGCATTCTTCTTTCCGCCTTTTTCCAATTTTTTGAGGAATCTTGCCACAACTTTTCCAATGTGTTTTGGCGGTCAAAACCTATTGGACAATCTTGGGATATATTCATTTCAGTCTTCATGTTTTGATGTGCATGAAGGGAGAAAGCTGGACTCAAGCTTTGTGGGACTTCCCGCAACAGCCATCTCAGGTGAGAAACAAAGCCTTGGCTGCTCTCAAGGAGCACGGAGTTCGAATCACCAGCATTTGCGGTGACGTGCAGGTGTGTGGCTGTTGTTCGCCGCGCCCTGTGTCGTATCTACTGGTACAGTTGTTGTGCTTTTCTGATTTCGAGTTAATCGGTCGGTGCGTGAATTCATCATCCACATCCTGTTTGGCTACTTTTGGACCTCCACATGGGTGCAAAAAGGGGCGACAACATGCTGTTTGGCTCCCTTTTTTCTGGCCGCAGCGGAGCAGTTTGCGCAGAAACTTCCACCTGAGGACCTGACAAAGATAGGAAGTAGAGAGTGGGTAGGGGATGGTAGGGGTTTGAGGTGAGGATGGAGGGGGATCAACTTCGCAGAGGTTCTCCGTAGTGACCCTCGAAAAGATGGATAGACAAGTGTTATGTTGAGGATGACTACAGGTGCATATATATTATATATATACATATGTAAGAACAGTGCCTGCCTTGGTCCAATGTGCACTTGAAATGCCCCCGGTTCTCTCGACCACCTTCCAACTTGCGAGTGCTTCCATCAACCCAAAATGTTCCGCCGCCACTGTTTCTTTCTGGGGCAGGTCCAAAACCCGAAAAAGGACCCATCGTTCAGTCGCCCGGGTGGTTCCACTCAGTCAACATTTCGGAAGTGAGTGAACTCAGCAACTCAGCCTCTCGTTGCACGGGTTCCACGCACGCGTTCCACGGCGCCAGGTGCCGCCCTCGGAGTTGGGGCCCATCTTGGATTCCCAGGCGTTGGACAAAGAAGAGAAGTTCGTGGCAGATGTCATCATGTTAGGCACGTGTGCGGATGTATGTTTGTTGCGCGGATGGTATCGATGTGTGTCTTTGGATGTGGGTGCCATTCAGAGCCTGCCTCTGAAAGAGAAGAGCACCACCTACGCGGGTGCCATTAGAACTCCAAGCTCTCGTGTCGGCCCTTTTCTGGACCTTTTCTTGACCTTCACCAGGAGTCCTGCGGACCTAGCCACAGGGGGGGTTGCAAGGTACACGTGAGGCCACTCATTCGAGCCTTCAATCATTATATCTAACGTGGCGGATGGCCCGACGTGTCAGACCCTTTTCATATGATCCCTGTGCCCTGTCTGATGAGATTCCATGTAATGATCACTTCATGGCTGATTGCTGCTTTCCGACCCCTTGCCGATGGCTGATTACAGTGGCACAAGCTCCAGTTGTTTCATTTCATGAACGGAACCGTCTTTTGAGGTTCAACAGGTGCCTTCCACTTTTCTCCCAAGCAGCTCACACGTCCTTTCGACTGCCCAGCCAGTCATGCTCCCCAAAACTCTGTCAGCAAATCACCTGTCAGGCTGTGTCACCTGTCAGTCTGTACACCCGCCAAAAAAGGACACCTGGTTCATCCAGGTTCCATGTCAACCACCTGACGACCCAGCTCCTGGTCAGGCTGTAAGGCGTGGGAGGCCAAGGACTGCTTGCAGATGTGCGAGCCCTGGTGTGGCCCTGAAACCCTGGTCTTGCCTTTGCAAAATGGCGTCGAGGGCCTGAGCACCATCCGAGACATCGTCACCTCCTGGGGCAAAGGCCATGCTCTCGCAGGCGGGGCGGGGCGGCTGGGTGAAAAATGGAATTCGAGAAGGGAACGAGGGATTCTCCCAGGGAGAATGAGGAAATGAGCCCACCAATAGAGATTCCTTTCGATCCATTCCCTCATTCCCTCCTCAGCCAGTTTTTGTTGGGCCGTTGCGGGGAGGGGTGTCACCAAGGGGTGAGATGACGTGCGCCTGTTACCTGTTGGGGAAAGAAAGGGAGAGGGCACGATTGGACATGTTGAGGCACGGAGGATGCAGCGGGAGTCATGACTTGTGACCGCATTGGACGCATATTCCTTACTTAGGCGGCATATAGGAGGGCCTAGGGGTAGGTCTGAAAGTTGCGCCAGATGTGTCGAAGATCGCTCGATTTGTCCTTCAGGATGCTGCAACATTGTGTCTGCCATTGCGGAGCCGGGGCACATCAAGCATTGGGCCGCTAACCCTCCTTACATCACTTTCGGAGAGTTCCTAGGGGCAGCCACCCCGAAAACTCTGCAGGTGAAGGCAATCTTGGATGCGGCCCCTGGCATGGACGGCAACTTGGAAGAGGATGCGCTGGCCAAGATTTGGGAGAAATTCACCTTCATTTGCTCCACCACTTCCGTGCAAGCGATCACAGGACCTCATGCCACCCAAGACATGATTCCCGCCATTCCGGAGCTGCTTGACACATGGCGCGCAGCCATGCATGAAATTGTTGCTCTGTGTCATAGTTATGGCATCAAATATGACTTGAAGCAGGTGGACCAACGTGTGGAGGCCGATGTTGGTGTGTGGAGGGTGTGGAGGTTGCCTGTTCCATGAACTCTCTTTGTGAACACGTGAAATCCACTGGGTGATGATTAGCTCCGTCGTTATGACCTTTTTGTGGATGTTCACTGCCGGGCTGCCATTCCATTGATGTTCTATGAGTCTATGAGTGTTCTTTTTGAGGTACAACTTGCGGTGGGGCTTTTGTTTGCAGCTTCCCAATTTCTGATCGTTTGTTAATTTATGAAAAACAGAGGCCCTTTTGGTGTGTGCTGCCGAAGCAGGCCTCCTACCTTGTGCTGAGGTTTACCCACACATCCAACAATCCCGGACGGAAGTCTTGTCCACTTTCATCTTTCTGGGAGGGAGAGTACCCTCACTCATCCATCAAAGCCTATTAAAGCCTCTCAGCAGGTAAATCCAAGAAATACCATCTACCCTGGCACCCCCAGTTTCCGCAGCCAGCCTGGAAGTTCTCGCCCTCTTCGTCCCTCCCCCGCTGTTCCGCCCGGGCGGCGATTTCTTGGGGGGTCGCCGCGTCGGCCTCGGTCACCGTGCCGTCGACCGGAGATCCAGGCCCTGCGAGTGGCCAAAGGCGCCAGCACCAGTTGCAGCCGGGACCTTTGGAGCGGAAAGCCCTCCGAGGTCGACGACTTGTTGGGCTCGGTGGTGCGGATGAGCAAGGAGCCGAGCTAGGCGTCTAGGCGTTTTGTTCGAAGCAGAGTCCGCAATACAGGCAGGTTCGGTGGAGGTGAGATTTACCAAATCAAGAAGGGTACATTCAGGGTCTGAATGTATAGAGGTGTTTTCGAGGTGTTTTTGAAAAGGTTGGTGTTTGTGAGCGTCATGTGGTGGCGACTTCCACTCCTGTCACCAACCTACGACTTCCAATCGTTTGTTCTCGGTTTTTTGGTTCCTTCACCCTAGGGCTTCTAAGGACTCTTCACGGCATCTTTTTCGTTCCAGTTATCCCTTTCACTCATTTTGCACTCCTGACCTCCCAATTCACATGGGCAAGCATGGGCTTCCGGTTTGGTATTTTAGGTTCTCTTTCATCTCCAAGATTAATTACTTCTTTCTTTGTTCTTTTGAGTTCGGTCGATGCGACGTATGGTTCGGTCGGTGGTAATGGTAGCCGGTGTCGCCGCTCATTTGAGGAGCAAAAGGTGCCTGTGCCCACGATCTCTGCGTGCTACAGCGCGTTGATTGTGAGGGACCGTATCGCACGGGGACAAGAGTTGCCGATCCAAGTGCCGGAGGGGCAGAAGATTTTGGGGCCCAACTGGGGTCCTGCCTGAGGTCTATTTTCCAGCAATTCTTTAGTCCAGACTCTTGGCTTTGAGAGGCAAAGCTGTGAGTTTCAACATCGCAGTTGATTTGCCCCAAAGAAGACAGTATGATCACAACACTGGACCGAGCTGCTTTCAAACTGCTCGAGCCTGCTCTCTTGATCTCGCCGGTTCTCCACGTTGAAAACGAACGGATGGGCGCTGAAGGATGGAGTGACAGGAGGATGGCGCAGGGTGGGTGTTTGGAGCGGAGGATTTGATCCATCAAGTGGAAGTGACCTTGCGGAAGAAATCCTTTGGCCCAATGTTTGGCCCACCTTATTTTTTCCAAGATCCGTAGCAGTGATGTCTTGCGAATCACAGAGATGTCTTGCAGACAATTCACAACAGGAGACCCACCATGCCATTCTTTCCGTCCAATCTTCTGCCGGATCCTTTCTTTCATCTTCCCGTCATCATCTTCTGGTCGTTCTTAGTCGTTCTTTCTAGTGCTTTTCAACGTTGGTCAGGCAGAGCCTTTCAACGTTGGCGGAGTGGAGCCTCCAATCAGGCCGCGTCCTTTTCCTCGAGGTTTGGCCGCAGCCTTTTTCAAGGTGAAAACACGGAGAACTTGGCGATGGCGAGGTCCAGGGGTATCCATTTACTAGTAGTATCTTGTTACTAGTAGCAAATTAGCTACTGATAGCGATGCACTTGTTCCTAGTAGCGATGCCCTTAGCTACGTTCGTAGCTTCTTGTTACTAGTAGTAATGCCCTTGCTACTATAGTAGCGATGCACTTTGTTACTAGCTTCTAGCTACGGGTGTGCTACGATGTTCCGATCGTTTTTGCGGTACTGAATGGGCGAAGCATCGCAAAGCATTCTGTGGATGGGATCGACCTTCTGGAGAACTAGTTTTCTACAAGGCTATTGCTATGACAATTGATGATGAATATATAACTGAGAGAGTGTTCAGCTGGCTCTCTTTTTCTTCTACACGCAGATTAACAAACAAAACAACGAAAGACCACATCGTCTTGTCCCGATTTCTCCGCTAGCGAGTCTCGGTACCAATCCCACGTCGAACGCGTCCGCAACCCGCAGATCTATGCCAAGCATCGGCACAGCTTGAGTCGCCGGCTCTTCTTGGCCAAGTGCGCTCACCGGACCGAGCGGTGCAGCGGTGGGAGGTTCAGCCGGTGGAAACCGTGCGGACGCACCGGGTTGCGACCGTGAGGACCTCTTTGAGGTTTCTGTTGGCGGAAAAGACAGTCCGTCTGACAGATTCTAGGCCCAGGCAAATTTTTTTTAGTCTTCCAGATGTTTGTTTCTTTTCACAGTGGCTTTTTTTTTCTGTTGGGTTTGTTAGGGTCCTGTCAGGGAAGAAGGGGTTGACCGTGCTTGAACATGGCCTACTGTACCATTTGGTAGATCCCAAGACTCGAGACGCAGCGGGGTTTCTGGTGGTTTTGCCCTGGTTCTGCTTTCGGACGATAGACAGTCAGATCGGCAGGGTAGGAATAGATCGCCTTTTATTCTGATGATAGACAGACTATCTATACATGCTGTAACCCTATAAAGAGAGATCGACCAGTTTGCACCACTGAAAAGCCCACCTCTTTGGGCTGGGCTTCACCGTGCTTCACTGCTTCACCCCGAGGCCGACCTTTGTGGAAGCGCAGGTCAAGGTCCATGAGGTGCTTCGAAGCTGGAGCTTCACCCGTGCGGGATGCCGGCTCGGTCGGTTTGGATCTGGTCTTCGGAAGCAGCTTCCTTCGGTTTGGGATGGACAGGGACGAGGCGGTCTGGACAGGGACGAGAGGTGCGCCGGATCGTTGCTTCGGAGGAGGACCGCCGGCTGGATCGTGACCTGACTGAGGTCTTTTGGTACTCGATCATCACAACAGTGCGATGGGTGCGATGGAGTGGATTTCTTAGAGCATCGAAAAGACAGAGCAGAGCAGAGTCGACCTCGTCGAGGCGACGAGTTCTCCCTCTTCAAAGGATTTCGAACCATGCAGATCTCAAAGCTGTGGCGCAAAATGAAGGAACCTTTGGCCAGGTAGATCTGACTCTGATGTGGAAAAGTCTGAAAAAGAGACGCAAGGACTTGTGCAGTAAAAAGAGGCTGGGCTTTTCCCGAGAAGCCCGGGGCTCACAGGGTCAGCTCATAATCCAACTGCATGGGTACCAGAACCAAGGGGTTTTGGTCTATTTTCCTTCTTCCAAACTTTGCAAGGGGTCTGAGGTCTCATTAATGTCAACCTAGGATTAGGGAACCCCCCCTATTAGTCTACCCAGCGTTCAGGCACCAATAATAAACTAATTTGAACTACAGTACTAATTTCCACAATCACCACCCTCTAATAATTTTTTTTCTTGGCTGAACCCCCCCCCTATTAGTCAACCCCCTGTCCTGCCAGGAAAAATATACTTATTCAAATATATATGTGTTTAATTAGTTTTATTCTTTTTTCCTTTTCAATATCTTTTGGTCCATGGTGAAACTGATCTTCTGATTCTCTCATCAAATTTGTGCCAATAAGCTCTCATGGATCTCATGATGAAAGGGAATTAGTATTTGGGCTCTCATGGATCTCATCATTCCATCCCATCTCATCTCCTCCTCCTGTCATCATCAGGTCATCCCCACTATTAGGGGGATGTGATCTCCAAAACCTCCAATCTCAGACCTTGTTGACCTTGTTGACCTTCTAGGGGGGGGGGGCCCGTTGATTAATCCGACGTTGACATTAGACAACAGCCAAACCCCTCACTGCCCTCCAGAGCTTTAGCCCAGCCCAGCCCGTGCAGAGGCTGCGACCCTTTTTGCAGCAGCAGCGTGAGCTCTGCGAGCGCGCGGATCTGGATACCACCGCCGATGCGGCTCGTGAGGCCGGGGAGGTGGCAGAGGACGAAAAGGTGCAACAAACAGCCGAAAGGGGGAACCCCTAACACATCCAGCTTTTGGTAGGTCCGTGATGGGCGAAGATCCAAGTTGTGTGAGTATGGTGGGTGTACACTGTACACAGGGCTGAAGGAAGGAGTTCCAGTGACCGGGCTCAACCGAAGTAAGGAGGGTGGAGTCTTCCAGAGCCCACTCTGCTGGGCTCTGCTGGGCTCCTGGCCGGCAGCCTGAAGGCCTCAGGCGGCCTCAGGTTTTGCCTTTTCATCCGCAGCCTTCAGGTGTTGGATGAAGCGATCAAAAAGTTGATGACCAACACAGATGACTGGCTCAGTCAAGATGCTTCTTCGCTGCAGGGGCTACTGAAGAGGGAGGTTCCTGATTTCTGGCGTGGCAAAGAGGTAAACAATTCAGCCAGACGTGTTCCAGAGACTGTTTTTGTTCAGTGGACTGGAGAAGGGCATCCAACAAGCACTTGCAGCTGCGGCTGAACCTACCGAAGAGGCAGTTGGTTCGAACCTACTGAAGGGCATCCACCGGCGGAAGAACTCCTACATCAGGTGAAACAACATATATTAATACTATATGTTATACACACATATACAATCATATACATATGAGTATATATTTGGGGCTTCCACCCACTTTTGGTCCGTCGGCCACAAAATGCTCTTCCAACCTGATCACCTGCTAAGGCCAGGTTAATGAAGATGATGCGTGGTCGAAATGTGTCGGCGTGGTGGCCAAATGCGCGGCGCTGTGAGGGAGGGAACTGTTTTGATCCACGACGTTTGTCTGTCTGTCTGTCTGTTTGTCTGTCTGTCTGTTTGTTTGTTTGTTGGTTTGTTTGTTTGTTTGTTTGTTGTTTGTTTCCTTCTCGAACTAAATTCCATGCTCTTTCAGCTCGCAGCGTTTGTTTTCTCGTGAGCACCTGGTATCCAGGGTTTGTCTTGTCGAGGTCTTTGCCAAGCGACAGGCTGCAGAAAGAGAGGCCAGGAGGGGGACACATGAAAACCAATGAAACACATATGCTTTATTTGGAGATAGATAGATGGATAGATGGATATGATAGATCATATAGATCATATATAGATCATATAGTATCCATCTATATGTATATATATACATGTTTTTAATGATGCTTTAATTAGATAGAGATCGATCGAATCGATGGATCCATCGAATGGATGGATGAAGACGCAGACCATCGGAACGGTTGGAACCATGGGGCCGCACCGCTTCGTTGTCAAACGGTGGTTCCTCGCTTCGGGTCTTTGAGCCCGCAACAATTCCAGGGTTCAGACCCGCAAAACCGGAAGAGTTGCTGCAGTTCACCTACTTTGGGCGTAAGGGGCACGGCCTTTTTGGAGTGCCCCTTTCGCAACCTTTTCCCTAAGTCACCTCAAAGCAGGGGATCGAAAGGTCGCTTTAAAGAACCAGGCAGTTCGGTTCTTTTCATGAGACCCTGTTGGATAGTTTTTGCTCTTCTCACGAGGCATACCGGAAGAAGTTGTGCGAATTCAATCGATCCCTGATTGGAAACTTCATCCGCCTGGTGGACGTCACTCTGGCTTGTTTGATGGCCAAGCTAAGGAAAAGCATGCGCATACGTACATGCGTGCGCATGCAGAAGTCAAGGAGGGGTGTCCCTGCTGGTTGGTGCCAGGTGATACAACAGAGCTGTTTGGTGGATTTGGTCGCAGGGGCCGCAGTTTGAGAGTTCCGGAAAAGCCAGTACTCTCGCAGCAAGAGAGAATCGCCGCACTGATCCCCCACATCGGGGGGGATGTTCGTTTCCCTTCGCATGTCCGACACGACGCTCAGCCTTCCACCTCTCGGATGGACCCGTGCTTGACCGGTCTGGCTTCCGGGTGAGCCGAGCTCGGCGGGTGTGGGATCCGAGGTGTCCAAGTCCTGGTACCTTCTGGATCGCTTCGCCCGGCCCGGCTGCCGGTACTCGTGTCGACACGAGCGTGTCGCGTCGGAGCGAGAGGTCGCATTGTCTTGAGAGGTTCGGAGGGGTCGGTGGGTGAAGAGATGTCCACGTCACAGGTCGACGTTCCGGAACATCATGTTGTTCGTGCCAGGTGACCTGGTCGTTCGCTCAATGTAGCGAACACATTTTCACAGGTTCGCCCCTGAAACTAGGGGTAGGGATGTCACCGCCACATGAATCTAGGCTTTGGTAAGGCTTCAGCCGCTGGTCGTGGCTGGCCGGGTCGGTCCGGCCGCCCTTGGACGATGGTTGCCGGGATCGCAACCGGGTCGTGAACAAGCAATAGATGATTACAAGGTCTATGAT